GATCAAACACAATTTTATTCTGAATCTTACACTTTAAAAACCAAAAATGCAAGCACTGAAATAAGAAAACACTAGATTCATTGTAACACTTCCAGTCCTTCTTAGCTAAATTAAATATATATATATACGCTTGAATTCTCTTAATCCACTAATGATAGTAAATGCATAATATTCGAGGTTTATTCTAGCTTGAGTCATTTTTTCGATGTAAAGAGCGATAATATGCCGTAAACATCAATCCAAATATTAATGCGTGATAAAAATCGCGAAAGTAAAATGTCAGCGATTAATTAAACTCATAAAAACGAAAGAACTACGAGCTTTTCTAATGTTAAGCCATACATTTATAACTGGGAACCAAATGCAAATTAAAATGTAAACTTACGCTCCACATGCATGAAGTTTAGCGTCACAAGAGAGATAGAAGCTCATTGGTCTATTTTCGAAACCCCTCCCTCAGTGGCTACGCTGATGTGCACTTGTGAATTATGCCTTCGGGGTGCTACTGGAAAAAAAGCCGGCTAGCTCTGGGAGGGCACAGAGTTATAGTCCTGGCGAGTGCACTACCAACTTTTCATGTTTCCTAATGTGAAACGGATTTAATGACTCTACAAATGGGCTGGCATTTTCTCCACTTCGATTGAACATTATTCTGGTAAACAAAATGTTTCGAGACTCCTTTTTTTAGCAACCGAGGCTGAATATTTGCTTCGAAGTTAGGTAGAATTCCAGGTTTTGTTAGCGTATTACAACTACATATTTTTTGTTATTTTTCCGCCGACCGGGAGTTTGACATGTCTTACAACACAACATTTATTATCATGACAAAGCTGGTCAAATCTATTTCATCTATCAATCTCAATTCCAAAACGCAAAGCTCTATACTTACCAAAACATCCTATTATAAAAATTACACAAGACAAAATCAAAATTAAAAACAGTATAACACATTTGGGCATTATAATAGATAACCATCTATCCTTGCATAAGCACATCAACTATACCAAAAATAAACTTTTAATTCTCTCTAACTCACTTAAATAGCACCGAAGTTAAAGATAATCTGGTACTTAACAGTAATAGAAAAAGTTATACTTCATGGAGCTTCTGTCTGGGGAATTAATCTAAATAAACATGCTCAAAGACAACTAGCATATGTTCAAAGACTATTTTGGCTCTCTTTAACCAAAGCATACCGCACTACTCCTACAAGCTATTACAAGTATTCCACCAATAACGTTAACCATATAAAAGGAAGCCATTAAAACAAAAATTACAAAACTAAAACCAACAATACTTCAACAATTTTTAGATTTTCCATAAACACTTGCGAGGGATGTACGTCAAAGTTATATTTCAGGTCTTTATATTTATCCTCCATCCAAATATAAAGACCTGAAATATAACTTTGACGTACATCCCTCGCAAGTGTTTACGAAAAATCTAATACTTAAAACCTCCTTAAAATATTTTCCAACACATGTGTACATAGACGGTTCTAAAACAGAAACAGGAGTTGGCAGTCCTTACTGTGCTTATTGTAATGGTACCCATATCAAAAACTGGAATATCAAACTTAATAATAATAATTCAGTTTTTCAAGCTGAACCACTAGCCTTGGAGAAGCAATAAAATTCATAAAATAATTCTCGAGAGAAAGTGTTATTATCACAGATTGTGCCTCTGGAATACAAGCTATAACAGGACAAGACCGATCACCATTAATTAAAGAAATTCAACTACTATTGACAAATTTTCCTCAACAACTAATACCAAACCTACACGAGCCCATGTAGGCACAATGGGCAATGAATTAGAAGGCCGAAAAGCAAGAGAAGCAGTAAACAGTTCGACAATGCAACTAATAACCATACCTTAACCAATTTCTTATTTAAAATCAAGTTTAGAAAAAGATCTTTTATCAGTCTGGAATTCAAAATGGTCACAAGGAGAAATGGTTTTCAGAGAAACGGAACCTTCAAATTCATATCTACTCCAACAAAACACCTTATCTCAACTAGCCGCGCCATAAAATTCTTTTAACAGCCCACGGTCCTTTTGCATCATATCTCAACGTTTGAATTTACATCACACAGATAAATGCATATGTGGAACTACAGGAACTATCGATTATTATATATTTGAATGTGATATAACCAAAAATTTACATTTTCAATTATATACATCAGAAAATGCCAAACTGTGGCTAAAACATCTACTAAAAAGTAACATCCTTAGACTTTTAGCTCCAAAATCTAATAAACTATTTATCAATAAACTGCGTCAAGTTAAAGACAGCATGAGTATTATTGTTTTGCCATATAATTATGTAATAAAATATTATTATGTATTTACCTAATCAAAATTAATTGTTATACTACAAAAATGTTACCCAAAACAACTATTATGTTAATTATATGCAATTGCTATGTTATTGATATATTATTGATGTGTTCCTGATATTACTGTTGTGTAACCAAATTATGCACTATTGTCCTTATTATGTAAATATTGTAAACTTTATGATAAATATCAGATAGTGGATGACCCCACGTAATACGCAACTAAGCTGATAAGTCTTCATGACGGTGCAGCTGCTTATTTCGTGGTTTCCAGTCTAAACCAGAATTTGAATAGCGGCTCTTCGCACCTCACACAATATCTGACAGGGAACGGCCATATATGTCCTATTTTCACAGATTTAGCCTAAGAGACAGCTATCAACGTATTTGTGGCAGTACTGGTGACCCAGATCACTATCTATATGATTCTCTGCAACGGCATGGACACTGCTGATTTTTCACATTTCCAGTTCCTGAAAAACGTAATGGCTGTACACGTGAGGCCCGAAATAAGTGGTACTGGACGCTAATTCTTCATCACCTGGATTTGGAGACTGAGTCCCTTTCTCACTGGTCGCCTTTCATGTAGGAGAGAATGAACAGCACTTTCTCCTTCCTTACCGCATGCTCTCGGTCTGTAATTAGAAGCACGTCCGACTGGCAATCGAAAGGTCTGGAGCGAAGGCATTGCTAATTTTTCATGTTTTCTGCTTCGAAATAAATCTAATGGTTTTATGTATTGAGCATTTTATTTATTTTTTTTTTCCAAAAGCTGGGTCGTATAAATTGGTAAAATTCTTTGCCTCGTCACAACGAATGTACCTTCGAGGGAAATACAGATTACACTTAGGTAAAAAATAATTATTTAAAGGTTCGTGTTTTACATAAGTGATTCGAAGTTCAGCCTGTCAGGTTGGAAATCGGCTCTACTAACCATCGAACTTATTAAGAGATATATGCTCGTATAAAACCCAATCACGTTTACCAAATCACCATGCGCTTAAAATACAAACACACATACATTAATCCAACAAAGATAAAAATACATTAAAAAATAATTAATGTGAGAGAATTATGTGCAAACATATTTAGGATTTAAATATAATATTTTGCTAAAGTTTAGATATCAGAAAAAAATTATATGCTTGATATTCTTCTCAGTCGTCAAATCTAAAATTTGCGTAAACATTTCTTGGATGGATTCAATTCTTTTAACAGTAATTTTAAAATGCATAATTGTCTTTGAAATTTATTTAATTTTCCTTTTTCGTAACTGCAAAATTATAATTCTTAAATAAAAAGCTGTTACAGAAAACCACGAAGTCAAACTTACATCACTTATCTCCAAAACATTTAAAGTGTTTCGACTATTGTGTTGCGTGTTTCGCTAAAGACGCATTTGGGATCAGACTGTGACAAATTGCAACCAGAAAATAGTGTCCAAGTCCAGGTGAGACTCTTTTCAACATCACTCTATCTTCGTCACGCTTTTCTTCGTCTTGCATACATTCTGGAGCGAGGGTGTTGCTCAGAAAGAAAAGTGAGTTTTAAAATGGGGTGATGCGGTACATTTACTTTCCTCTCAAACTTAAATATTTTACTCACCATATTGCTTTTACCACAGTCTGGCATACGAAACATTTAAACAGAAGCACCACTGGGATTAGAAATGTTAGTGTCAATGCAATATAACAACTGAAGGGCAGAAGATAAATATTCTGGGAATAATTTAAACAGCAGAATTTATCGTATTTGCTCGTGGTTAACAAGTGTTACTCTAATGTCCTGCCTCCCAAAAAGATTAATCGGAATAAACAGAAATTACTTTAACGTCGAGTCTAGCAGTACAAGTATGATTGCGGGTTTATTGCGCATAGCATTTCATACATGAGTATGAATAGATGATGTAATATAATTATGTCTTTTGCTTTAAAATATTTTTTAAATGAATGCTATCCTATTTAGTATTAGCGCAATAATACTGAAATTGTTTTCATCAAAAACAGAAAATGCTTTCTTTATTTACTTTTGTTTATATTGATGACAGCTTTTATCAGTTTTTATTATGTTACCATAATCTTATCCATTATAACAAAGGTTTGGCTAATATCCTTTATTGCTGATGTTCTTACCAAGCCATATGTTAAATTAGGCACGAATAGAAAATCCATTATTAGGCCCATATCTCTTAAGAAATGTTTGTGCTGAGTAAATTAGCAAAATAATCTATAGGCAGTTTTGAAAGAAACTGATCAGTTCGAAATTTTCTAGGAGATTATACTGCCAGTCTAGTGTCAATGTACAGTCTAAATACTAAATTGATAGTGTAATAAGAAAATTCACTAAATATTCCAATTATCACGATTACGCTAATTATGTAATATATGCTGGGGAGATCTTTCCTGTCAATAACATTAAATTTTTAAAGCCAATGTACCTAAATCTATTTTCTGATTAATTTGAATTTAATCTTTTATTCTTTTTTTTTTTTTTTTATTTTTATAATAAAAAAAAAAAAAAAATTTACAATGCTCGATCAATGAAGATTTTATTATAGAATGTAAGTTTTTACTGGTGTTTAAGAGTAGCTTTAAATGATTTGGAAATTAAAATATTTAGTACGTAGTAACAATTCATCTCTGATATTGCGGGGGGTAGGGGGGGGAGCGAGAGAGGGGAGGACGGACAAAAGGGGGATGGGGAAAGAAAAAAGAGGGGGGGCACGAAGACAGGAAGAGGAATGGAAAGGCCAGGAGAAAGGGAGGAGAAACCGGGACGGCGGGAACGGGAAAGCGACGGGGGGCGCCCGAGGCCCGGAAGCGGGGCACGAAGGGCAAGAAGGGCAAGAAGGGCATGAAGAAGAAGACGAAGCAGAAGAAGAAGAAGAAGCAAGAAGAAGAAGAAGACGAAGAAGAAGAAGAAGACGAGAAGAAGAAGAAGAAGAAGAAGATAGAAGCAGTAAGAAGAAGAAGAAACGAAGACGAGAAGACGAAGACGACGACGACGACGAAGACGCAGAGAAGAGGACGACGAAGAAGAAAGCAGAAGAAGAAGTAAGAAGCAGAAGAAGAGTAAGACGGAAGAAGGACGAGAACGAAGACGAAGGACGAGACGAAGACGGAAGGACGAAGACGGACGAAGAAGACGGAAAGAAGAAGACGAAGACGAAGAAAAGACGAAGAAGAAGGAAGAAGAAGAAGAAGAAGAAGATAAGAGAGATAGAAGAATGCAGAAGAAGAAGACGAAGAAGAAGACGACGAAGAAGAAGAAGAAGAAGAAGAAGAAGAAGAGAAGAAGCAGAAGAAGAAGAAGAAGAAGAAGACGAGCAGAAGAAGATAGAACAGAAGAAGAAAGACGAGAAGAAGACGAAGGCGAAGACGAAGATCGAAGACGAAGACGAAGAAGAAGAAGGAAGAAAAGAAGAAGAAGAAGAAGAAGAAGAAAGAAGAAGCGAAGACGAAAGAAGACGAAGAAGAAGAAGAAGAAGAAACAGGAAGAAGAAGACGAAGAGGAAGAAGCAGATAGAGAGAAGAAGTAAGAAGAAGAAGCAGCAGAAGAAGAAGAGAGAAGGAAGAAGCAGACGAAGAATAAGAAGAAGAAGAAGAGAAGAAGAAGTAAGAAGAAGAAGAAAGAAGAAGATAGAAGAAGAGCACGAAGACGAAGCGAAACAAGACGACACGAAGAGAAGGAAGACGAAGTAAGAAGAAGAAGAAGAGAAGAAGAAGACGAAGAAGAAGCAGAAGCAGACAGAAGAAGATAGAAGGAAGAAGGAAGGAAGAAGCGACGACGAAGAAGACGAATAAGAAGAAGACGAGGAAGGACGTAAGACGAAGACGAAGACGAAGACGAATACGAAGAATAAGAGAAGAAGAAGAATGAAAAAGGAAGAGAGAAGACAGAAGAAGAAGAAGGAATGAAGAAGAAGAACCCAAAAAACAAATAAAAACAAACCCACAAACACAACCAAACCAACAAATACAATACAAATAACCCCTAACACACAAACCTCAAAAACCAACACCTAACAACAACAGTCCATAAAAAAATACCCCCAAACAAAACACCACAAAACCCACAAAACAAACAAAACAACAAACCACAAAGAACCTTCAACAACAACAACACATACTAAAACAAATAACACAAAACAACAACTTACGAAGCCACACCAACTACCAAAATAAACCTTACCCTCAAAAACGGGGGGGGTGGGGGGGGGGGGGGCTTTGCATACAATTAAAAACATCACAAAAAAAACAAAAAAACACAATTCCCAATAAACTAAGAAAAAAGAAAAAATATGGGGGGGTTGGGGGGGGCGGGGAGGGTAAAAAAAATCCCTAAAAAAAAACCTACCAAAAACCCTAAATACAAAAAACAAATAAAACAAATATAAAAAAAAAACCCAACAAAAAAAAAACAAATAAACTCAAACAAACAAAAAAAAAAACAAAAAAAACCCAGAAAACCCACAAATCAAACACAAAACACACACAAAAAAATATACTGGGTGGGGTGGAACGTGGGGGGGGGGGCGGGGGCATGGGTGGGGTGGGGGAAGGGTGTGGGGGGTGCGGGCGGGGGGGGGGGGAGGGGTGTGGGAGGCGGGGGCAGTTGGGGGGGCGGAGGGGGTCGGGTGGGGGGGGAAAAACCAACAAAAAAAAAAAAATAAAAACAAAACACTGCGTAATCAACAAAAACCAAAAAAAAAATAAAATAACAAAAAAAAAAAAAAAAAAAAATACAAAAAAAAAAAAAATTAAACATCGAAAACAAAAACACAAAAACACAAAAACAAAACAAACAAAACCACAAAAAAAAAACAAAACCACATAAAAAAAAAAAACAAAAATCAAAAAAACCCAAAAACCTCACACAAACAAAACAAAAAAACAGGGGTGGAGACAAAAAAAAAAAAACAAAAACAAAAAAAAAAAACAACACAAAAAAAAATCCAAAAAAACAAACAAACAAAAAAACAAAAAAAAACAAAAAAAAAAAAAAACAAAAAAACAAAAAAAAAAACAAAAAAACAACAAACAAAGGGGGTGTGGGGGGGGGCGGGGGGGGGGGGGGGGGGGGGGGGGGGGGGGTGGGGGGGGGGGGGGGGGGGGGGGGGGGTGGGGGGGGGGGATGGGGGGGGGGAACAAACAAAACAAACCAAAAAAAAAGACAAACAACCAAAAGAACGATCACCCAAACCAAACAAAAAAAAAACAAAATAACCAAAAAAACACCAACTCCTCCCCAACAACCAAAAAAAAAACGAAAAAACAAAAACAAAACAATAAAAAACAAACCAACCAAAACAAAAAACCACATAACGCCCTTCTCAAACAAAGTTATAAAAAAAAAAACAAATCACAAAACACTGCCAATAAAATTTACCCACAAAAAAAAAATACAAACACCACCTAACCACAAACCCAACAAAAAAAAAAAAAAACACAAAACAACAAACACAACAAATCCCACCCAAAACAAAACAACACAAAGGACAACAAAAAAAAAACAACAACTAAAAAAACCCGGGGGGGGGGGGGGGGGGGGGGGGGGGGGGGGGGGGGGGGAGGGGGAGAGGGGGGGGGGGGGGGGGGGGGGCGGGAGGGGTGGGGGTAGGGAACAAAGACCAACAAACTAAACACACAAACACAAATAACCACATCCAACCACAAAAAAAAGAAACAAAAAACACTACCCATACACAACAAAAAGACAAAAACACCATAAAAAAAAAAAAACAAAAACATAACACCAAACATACAATAATAAAAATCACAACACACAAAAAAACATCACCACACAAAAAAAAAAAAAACAAAAACACAAAAACCAAAAAGCCAATAACAAAATTCCCAAAAAAACACAAAAAAAAAACACAAAAAAAAAAAAAAAAAAAAAAAAAAAAAAAAAAAAAAAAAAAAAAAAAAAACAAAAAAAAAAAAAAAAAAAAAAAAAAAAAAAAAAAAAACAAAAAAAAAAAAAAAAAAAATCAAAAAAAACAAAACAAAAAAAAAAACTAAAAACAAAACAAACAAACAAACTCTCGTTCACTTTCTTCATAAAAAAAATCCCAAACAACCCAAAAAAAAGGCGACAGAAAACAGGGGGGGGGGGGGAATTAAAATAACAACCCACCACAACAACAAAAAAAGACAAAAAAAAAAACAAACTACAAACAAACAAAAAAAATAAAAAAAAAGAAAGAACAAAAAAAGAATAAAAAAACAAAACAAGAAATAAAAACAAAACAAAAAAAAAATAAAAAAAAAAAAATAAAGAAAAACCCAAAAAAAAAACGAAACAAACAAACAAAAAACAGAAAAGAAAAAAAAAAAAAACAAAATCCGAAAAAAAAAAACAAAACCAAGTCGGGGGG